ACTGCAATTTATATTTGACAAAAATGCAACGACACGCATTTAGTTTGAAAAAAAGAACAATTCGACACAATGTGATTATATACACAAACTACTTTCAAATAAAGATATGTTGCGATTATTAAGGTTCATCCTCCATCTTAAATTCGCCTAATAAGTTTGTAAAGTTTTCTTAGCACAAAATTCTTAAAGGAATGTATATTACAATATCCAAAATCGAATTTCCTTCCAGATGCATCACTTTTTATTATTCTAATATAACTGTCGCTTTAGTATTCTTGAAGCCTTGTCCTGTGCTAGTTATTTTTCAATCCACCGTCAGTTTCCTAAGCCGCGATTACATTCTTACATAATACGAAATACAGCAACTGAAATGACCTCCCCGACTTTACATCTCAAATTAAGGAACATTTATTTTACCATCTACAGCCTACGTCAGTCGCAATCTAGTTAGGCATGTTTTCTTTACGATTTATTCGTTCTTCCTCAAGCAATTCATTCTGAGCACAGTTCAGTTCTCCGTGACATTATTTTACATACAGAAATTTATTCGATACATGGCTGCAGCACTATTTCTACGTGTAATCATCAAAATTGAAGGGGGGAGTCAACACTTAGCACAGAGAAAATTCCAAAGTCACAGTCGATTATTTCAAGCTAAAAAGTTTAACTTCCGTTTTCAAGTTCTGGACGTCCATCGATTAACTGAGAGTGCCACGTCTTTAAAATCGACGACGGCACCTTGCGCCGCTTCCGCTGTTTGACGAACATAATTTAATTTCCTCAGCCACCCCCTTTAGGTGGGTAGGGATCGCTCTCATTTGCATATCGGGAACATAAAGAGCTGACTTAGAAATTAGCCGCAAGCGATTTAAAATATCGCCTCGTCGTTTCGAGCGACGAAAATGACGCCTTTCTCAGGCATAGATGGGAGGGAATGGACTCGAAAGGGGGGGACAGAAGACATTCTTCTGTGCTTGTATCGTGAGGAGGGGAGTAGGTAATGGCAAAGAAATAGATATTTTAGTGATAAGGAATGGAATAAATGCGAATGTTACACGACTAACAGCCTGTGGTAGCGTTCGAGAATGTGCCTGTCAAATTAGTGACAGTCAACCATCCCACATCAGTAAAATACAGATTACAAGTACACAAAATATAAAGAAATTAACTTTTTATAACAATTGACAACAGCTGTAGGTTCATAATATTAAATAGAAACATTTTTGCGAACAAAATTTTGATAGATATAACAATACTTCACAGAATGGCACAAAAATAGGAAAATATTCAAACCTGGTGTTACTGAATTTCATTTAATAATTATACCTTTAAATGTAAAACAAAACTACAACAGAAATTTATTTACAAGGAACGTATAGTTACAAGAACTATCCCCAAAACTGATAGCTTTCAAGAGTCACTTACTGACGGAAATCAAACATATTCAACATATCTAGTAGCAGTATAAAATAGATTGAAAAATAAAATCTTATGTGACCTTCAGGCTTGATTAAAAAGTTATGTCTTAAGCGGGATGATTTCTAAAAAAAAGTTCAAAGCGCTCCAGAGCTTCATACAGCTTCATACCAAATTCATCTACTTCGGTAGTATGAACACTTTAAAGTCTAAAATATTCTCAACAGTCATTGAAATAAAGAAACCATTCATTCACACCTGCCTTCACAACAATGTTTTACATATACATACATCTGTTGAAAATCGCGCACAGTTTTAAGCCCGATTTAACGAAACTCTTTAATAACAGTTCTCTGTTCGATTTCTGTGTCGGCCATTTCCACAACAAATACTGGTTTTTACCACATCTCTAACTCCGTGTTCTCCTGAATGCTCTACCGTGATTTCGGCAGGCATATACCTGCGATGTATTTTCTTTGCTATAGCCATATCGATTTGCGCCGGTGTTGCCAGTTTTGGAGTTAGATATCCGTTCTAGTTATTTAATTGTACTTCGTGCAATGCTGTGTAAAATTCGCGTTTAACTCTACATTTGTGCACCAAAAGTTGCGTTATGTCATCTGAAACCACCGCTGGTTGCACAGAAAATTTACGTGTTATAAACTGCTATTTCTTTTATCTCATTTTCATACTTCACTAGTATCAGAAATTTTTCAATTTCGTATCCTTTCGCATTCTCGCTTGTTATTTCCCTTCAGCAACAGACTCGTAGAAAGGAACCAATTTCCCTAAGCCTTCCACTCAGCAATCAATTTTCCTCATCACCTGCCCCTTTTTCTATAGAAACTTACAAACATGACACGCACCATCAAATTTGCCGCAAAAAGCATCTGGTAATCCTCAAACCAAATTCTTCCTCAGCTCTTCTCAGAAAGGCAGATTCGTTAGCTCTCATTTTGCTGTTTGACAGAATGACACTTAGGGAGGTGCGACGAAACACTCAACAAAACTCTCGCAACACTATTAAATTACCGCTAACTCTTCATTCTTTCAAACGCTGCTAGAAATAAGTGCGAGATAATGATGCAAAAGTTCAAGCACTTCTCCACACGAAAGGAAGAAAAAAATTGTTATCCTATCTTGTCTGATTCAATTAAGCATGGCTTGCTAAATGTAGCATGCCTAATCCTTCTTTATAAATAACACACTGTGAAGAACAGTGTGGCTGGAAGAATACAAAGCTTTATTTAATTTGCATGTTGAAACTCATTTTCAATTGTTAATTACATTTTGACATTATACAGTTTCCCTAATTTTCAGTACCAACAGTTTTATCGAAGAGATACTTATAGAACAAGCAGGGAACTAATATTTAGATCACAACGAACTAAAATTTCTCGTTTATAAATTAAAAAGTTTTCACTGAAAGGTGTATATGTATATACATATATATTTAAAATGCAAAAGCAAACTCGATTATTCCAAATAAAGTTTACCAGTAATGCATAATTTCAAAAACTTACGTAAAACAAAATATTATATCTATTTCAACTAAAAAATTACAACTTAAAAATTTCACCAATTTGTAGATTATCATTTTAATATGTCCGTTTATATTACTTTAGCTAGTTTAATATTATGTAAAACAAAGAAAATACACTTTTTGTGGTAGTTCATCACTTTATATAACTTAGCGTACAAGTTTTCAGAAAATAAAAATAAATCCTGTAATCAGATTAAAACTTAAAATTATACCTAAGGGTCCTGAAGAAAATGGACCTGCGTCTGATAGCTCTCGAAATCGACACTGTTTTATTCAAAACAATATCAAACTGATTGTGTTTTAGGCTTAATTTGTAATATTTAATATTTCAACATCAGTAGTTTGCTTCAAACTGAAATTAGCAAAACCAAGGTTTAATAGGCAACAAATGTTTAGCACCTCCTAACGCATAGCTTTGTGAATTTTACTGTACATACCGTGAATACTAGATACTTTCTCTTAGAAAGTCCTTAACAAAGGTATCCCTCTCCTTAGGTGCATAGCTCTTTCAAGTTTCGCCAGAAACGATAACATAGATATTCCTGCAATTTATGTGAAGGAATTTTATTTTTCGCTTTTTAAAATAAAATACAAAATAAATCTGTTATTTCAATAAAAGTAAAATAATGATTTTTTTTATTCTTTTCTTTGAGCAGTAGCAAATAAAATTAAAGCGAATATTTTTCATTTGAATAAACTAAACGTCTAAATTATTTATATTCTAAAATCAAATCAAGCTACTGCTTTTCTTATTGATATAAAGTTTAAAAAAAAAAAAAAAAAAATCGAAGGTTTCAGATTTTAAATTACGTTCAAAGGGGCGTTTTTTTAACGTTTTGTGTGTTACCTTTATTTATTAAATATCATGTTCTTTGCACTTAAACCATAAAATTCAGTTCAATAGCAATTTCGCAAAATAATGTTAAAATGAGCTTATCTTTAGAATTTCCGATACACAGTTCCGCGCGCTAGAGATAAAAGTTTTTTCCCTGCCCCGTAGAGTGCTGCCATTGCTCGCTTTGAAATCCTTGAGTTTGTTAATCAAAAATTCGTTAAAGTTTTACAAAATATGAAATCGACAATAAAACAAATTCCAAATTTCAAATTTGGTCTTCCACATGTCTATATTCGTAGGAAGATTACGTCATTCAAAATTCGATGGCTCTATGTACCACTGTTTTATCACAATGCGAAAAATATACATACATTTATGCAGATTTTTCATTATTTAATTTCTTCAAATAAATGCAGGACATTTGGTGGCAACAGTTTGAAAAGTGAAACGGACATTTATAGTGATTCAACGGAAAATCGCAAAACGAAAACAATAGTCCTTCAAAGACAAAGCCCCTTTGGACTAAAAATTAACGCCTTCAATTTTTCTTGATAAGATACTTATAATTTTAATTAAATATAACCAAAAGTCGGCTGATTCTATTGCGGAAACGTTGTTTTACTATATTGTACGGTACACAGAGCACAGCTGCCAACTTTGTTTATTGTTTAACACTTTGTGTGTTTTTTATCACATCTCTCGAAATATCACAGAATACCCAATTTTCAGCTTTCACTAATAAAAGTGTTTCTCACCAATAAAGGAAAACTATTGAATTAATGAAATTCAAATTGTGCAAATGTCACTTCCCCGTTTTTAGTGATTTTCAGCATAATTTTTCTTATTCAATTGTATTTGATGTGAACTGTAGACATTTGTAAGAAATTTAATGGAAAATTCCACAATATTTTTATCAGTTAATAGTGGCATTTAATTTTGTTCTTCGTGAATAAACGGTACATTACAGAGCTTATTCCTACAATAGTATGCGCAATAATTATGATTTTTTTTTTAGTGTTTAAGTGTACTTCGATAGATTAAACTTTTCAAATCAGAATTTCCTTAGTATAAAAGTGTGCGAGAATTACAAAATAAATTTTAGAATACCTAATTAAATATTAACTAATGTATTTTAAATCAAAATGTTGCAAATAATTTAATAATTTGAATTATGCATTATCAACGCATTTAAATCAATTCGGAGGGTTTTTTTTTTTTTTTTTAATGGTGCTACCTGGTTTTAGACGACACGACCTTCCGGGTTTTCATATTTCAGTGTTGACAGTATGGCATGGGAACTTTGACATGAAGAAAACCGCGAAAACATCCAGGCAACCAGCCCATTCGCTAAGATTTGAATCAATACCTAAACTATTTTGTTTGAACCCGGGTTGAATTGTCAGAAGTCAGCGGTCTTATCCGCTCGGCCTCAGGCAGGAGCAGTAATCAGGAAACAGATTTTTGTTTTTAAAAAAAGTATGCCATAAATAAACTGATAAAAAGTTTAAATTACTTGCCCTACAAAGGAAAACAACAGATCCGGATAACCTGGACTTCTACCGAAATTCATGACATAGACCTAAAATAGATATTTTTTTTTCAATTCAATCATAAAAATTAAATTCTTAATTGGATATGACATATAATATAAATATAGCTACTGTTTTTTTGAGCACAAGTGATTCTTCGTAATAAAGAAGAAAAATTTTTACATCCTATCTAGGGCGAACAAAATTTGTTTCGGCTGCAGATTATTTGAATAGAATTCGATATATCATAATTCTTCTGCAGTATCTTGATTATTGTTAATAAATAAACAAATATTTAAAAGGTTTCGAATTTTAAATTATGTCCAAAAGGGCGTTTTTTTAACACTTTGTGTGTTACCTTTACTTGTTAAATATCATGTTCTTCGCACTTAAATCATAAAATTCAGTTCAAGAGCAATATCGCAAAATAATTTTAAACTGAGCACATGTTTAGAATTTCCCATATACAGTCTCATGCACTGGAGATAAAAGTGCTTTTTCTGTACAACGTTGCCATTGCTCGCTTTGACATCTTTGAGTTTGTTAGTCAAAAATTCGTTAAAATTTTACAAAATATTTAATTGGTAATAAAACAAATTACAAATTTGGGCTCCCAGATGCCCATATTCACAGTAGGATTACGTCATTCAAAATTTTATGGCTCTAGGTACTGTTGTTTTATCACAATGCGAGAAACATACATACATTTATGCATATTCTTCATTATTTAATTTCTTCAAATATAATACAGGGCGATAATATTTGGTGGCAACAGTTTGAAAAGTGAAACGGACTTTCAGAGTGATTCGACGCAAAACGAAAACAATAGTCCCTCGGAGATAAAGCACCTTTGGAGTAAAAACCTTCAAAAATAATATTCTCCACATTCCAATAATCGATAGCATTCAATAATTTATCCACTTTCTTTTATTTTTTCAGCCCACAGTCATCGAATTTAATACGTCTGTGAGTGCATGAAACTAAGAATGCTTAATAAATCATCATTTACAAAGCTCCTAACCAATACCATCTGCTTCTTCAGCATCGTATTTTGTTGAAAGAAAGGGAAACACTCGATTCCAGACTAGAGTCTTCCGAAAACACTTCATCAAAGTGAAGATGTAAACAACAAAAGACTAAAAATGAGCCAGCATCAACCATCTAACGCGGAGTTCAACACAGCAGTTGGTGGTCTGGAGAGTATTATAAGCGATTCTGTTATGGCGGGAAACAAAAGAAACCTAATCTGCAGAAGATATATCCGCTTCATAATGTTATAAATCAAGTAGTTTTGTCTTTTTATCTTTCTCTGTAGTATTCCGCGGAGAGTAACAGATGGATCAAATGCTTAAATAAAGATTCAGTGAAAAGAAAAACAATCTTTACATTCAGGGAAAGAATGCAATATGCAAAGGGATATATTCCATGCAAGTTAAAACATTTATTTTCATAGAAAAGAGTTATAAGACAGCTTCTATCAATAATTTCGCTGAATTCGTTCTCGCATATTTAATGTTTAAACGACTTAATGCATGGTAAATCTATTATGCAGAAACAAATCCGTATGCTTTTAAATAGGGATCTGAGCTATGAGTTTTAAAATACACATAAACATGCCCGATTAAAAGCAGGCTTTTTCTTAAAGCGAGATAAAAGATACAAATTAGTAATTATACATTTAAAATGATTTGGCGACTTATACACATAATTGCACAGAAAATAAAATATTAACGGAAAGCAGTCATATGACAAGGTTGCTGTGGTCACATGGATGATAATGCTTATTTTATGCTTTCTAAAAAATATCGAATGACTGGATTACAGGCAAAGCATGTGAAGATTTAGGGAAAAGATGCCTGCGTGGAGGACACATGAAAATGGCTAATATTCATGTTAAATACGGAGAAAAACAAAGTTCAGTAGACAAGTTAGTCTCTTTCCAGCGTTCGATTCCAGTGACGTCATTTGACGTACAGAAAAGAGAGAAACGAAGACGCAAAAGAAGTAGAGTTGATTGGTTTATTTGATTATGGCAAAACACACTAGGGCTATCTGCCCAACGGAAGGGATGGCTTCGTGGAGGATTACCTAAGGAAAGTGGCTCGTTTACATATTACACATGGGGGAAAACCACGAAAATGCCTATGCAGCCAGTCCGTCCGCGGTTCGAAACCAGGACCGAACTACCAATGTCAAAAAAGAGTAGGGAATACTTATTTTCGAGCAGAATAGGAGTCAGTGAGGTCGTCAGAGTTTTAACAGAACAGCAAATCTTCCAGTATAGTAACTTTGGAGAAAACCGCGAAATCTCCCATATAGAATTTCCGATACACAGACTCACGCGCTAGAGATAAAAATGTTTTCCCTGTACAACATTGCCATTGCTCGCTTTGAAATTCTTGAGTTTGTTAATCAAAAATTCGTTAAAGTTTTACAAAATATGAAATCGATAATAAAACAAACTCCACATTTCAAATTTAGGCTTCCACATGCCCATATTGGCAGTAGGGTTACGTCATTGAAAATTCGATGGCTTAATGTACCGTTGTTTTATCACAATGCGAGAAATATACATACATTTATGCAGATTTTTCATTATTTAATTTCTTCAAATATAATGCTGATATGATAAACTCAGAAAGGACTGAAAAATTATAAAAATATATACCGACACTTATGCATCGGGAATTATAAACAAATACTGCTAGGAAATGGGTTAGCAGGAGTGAGTGCAACAGCAGACTGATAAACTCCGAACTCAGAGAGTGTGTTGATTGACAAACCTTAACAAACCCTTTCGGACAACCGTTAAAATCTGACACCTTTTAGATTTTTTTTAATATTTTGATATTTTGTTAAAAAACTGTTCTGACCCGTCAGCTGCTTTTAGATTCTGCATTCGGGCTACAAATAATTTGAGAATACTGGTCTAACGTATATTAATTACCTAACAACTAAGCTCTCCATGCTACATATAGTACATCAGCACATACATTCTGGTCGCCAGCTCAAGCAGGTAGATACAATGAATGCCATTATTATTTCTGACTACTTTTGTATAAAACAAGGAAGAAAAAATTGCTCTGATCACCAATGAACGTTTACCATTTGTCAAGACAGCTTTATATTAAAATTAATTATAATGAAAAGATTAATTTAACCGTAGATATCTAAACTTACGAAATTGCTTTTTAACCCTCAATTTGGGTTAAAAAGCAAACTTCACTTCAGTTCAATACTATTCTTCTGTTCTGAATACATACTCAGTTTGGCACAATTTCAAAAACACTAAAACACAGATTTTCATTCGAATAATGAATACTCCAAAATTCTCTTGACGGCTATTTTCCCTCGATTAACACACAAAAACGAAGGAAGCTAAGAAATCCTTTTATACCATTAGGACGCTTTTAAAAAGATGACTTTAACGAACTATAGCAGGTATCTCTCGCATAATGCTTATTAGAGCTAACAGCATTATACAAATACTTCATAACTAGAGGTGGTTATTGAAAGCCATTGCCAAACCGATTCATCGACAAAAACAGTGGATATTTATTAAATTGTTGCTAATCCATGAAACAGGGTATTTTCCCTGGGGTTATTTAAAAATCATACGCTTACTTCATTGTTTTACTTTAAATTTCATAAATTTTATAATTGGTTATTAATTACTCAATTATTGAAAATTTCCGACACAATTTATCACAGATAAATTTTCAACTTATCTCTTCGCAGCGTTAGCAAATACTAATAACTATTTAAAAGATGAAAATGATAATTTTTTAAAAATAGCAGTTAGGGCTAGCTCCACTTTCGAAATTAAAAAGGGCGATACAATGTCAGTGACCCTCGTGTTATCGCTATGGCAGAGGTAGTATTTGAGGAGTGAAGCGTTAAATGTTCTTATCAGCTTCAAGCAAAAAGCTGTGAAGTCGAGAACTTGCAACTGGTCATACGTTCTTGAACTATAATTAATATCTAAGTCCCCATCTCCTTTTGCTACAGAGGATAATGTAATGTTAGGGAAAACTTTAAAGATTATATTTCAGTTAATTTTTTCATCATAATATATCTATAAAGCTTTAGGATTAAGTTCGTACAAAAGTGTTGTTAAAGTTGAAGAAAACATTCTTGTTAACCAGTTAACTGTGATTGAGGAGAATACTCGTTACGGAGAAGCGGCACGATTTTGTGTATTGACGAGTATACTCGCCATGCGTATAAAACAGTGTAAGCAACGTAATAGAAACAGAAAAAAAATAATAATAACAAAGAAACCGGAGCTAGTGATTGATTATAATAAAAAAATGGGTGGAGTGGATATGAGCGATGGAATTATCATAGAGTACTCCACAGCAAGAAAACGACTCAAAAAGTACTACAAAAAGATATTTCTCCATTTCTTGGATATTATGTGTCTGAATGCATTCATATTATATAAAAAAAAGAATGTAACATATCGCGTATCAACTTTTTGCTCAAATTTATTGAAGACATTTTTGCGACGTATCCAGTTGAAAGAAATAAATCGACACAAACTTGGCCATTTAGACCTAATATAAGCCAATTAAGCGGGTATCATGTTCCGGATTATATACCCGGAACATCGAAAAAAAAAAAAAAAAAAAAAACCCTACTCTGACGTGTTCGCATTGCTACAAACGTAAGATCAGGAAGGTGGTGTGGTGTATGGTGTTCGATTTGCAAAGTCCCATTATGCATAGTACCCTGTTTCACTGAATATCACTCCACAGCAGGAATTTAAATTCTTACTTTTATATGTATAATATTTAATTTATTGCGTTTTTAGTTTAATATGTATGTAATATATGCTTATGTTAACCAAATAAGTAAATATTAGTAATAAATTTTTCAATCTTATAAAATAAATCCATCTTTTTCCTACAATATCTTACCAGCGCAACTTACTCTGTGATTGACAAATATACTCGTCATGGCTCGATTCTGGCGATACAAACCGGTGCGCACTCTTAAATGAGGACGCCACAGTTAATTGGTTAACTGTTCGTTAATATACAAATCACTT